AAGGCATCAGAGATCTGTCTCCCTGGAGAAAATGACTGTTTTAAAAGGTGGACTCTGTGGCATTATACCCAGCTGAGGCCTCTCCCTTCCCCAATCCCACCTCAAAACCTCTAGGGACTCCCCAGGCCAGGCCCCCAAGGCTCCCTCCCTCCCTGAAAGGCCAACGGAGGCCTGGAAAAGGGCCCTTCCCCCACACTCCTCTCCCCCCCCCCCCGAACGTTCTAACCTCTCTCTCACCTTTGGTGTCTGAAGCAGAGCCCTGCAGAGGCCAGTTCAAAGGTTTGTTGGGGGAATTCAGCCATCCCTGGAGCGATTTTCTTACTTTTTGGATTTTTCTGCAAACCCAGACAGGCCCTTGAGACTGTAGAAAGAACTGTTGGGGCAGAGCGAGCTTCCTGTTCCTCAGACTAAGGATCCGCACGGCGCCCTCTGTTGGCTATTAGAATATATGATGATGATAACTTCTGATTCAAACTTAAATTGTAAACAGTGGGTTGCAATACCCAATTCTGTAAGCTGCCATGTGAGGTTGCATTCCAGTCCACAAGGATAGTTGCTGGTGGTTCATTAGGACAACCTGTGGCGTTGTGCTGGTGGTGAAAGCCCTACATCCTGGGTTGGCTTTAAAGACCATCACAGTGCCACGATGAGCTAGCAGCACAAGATACACAACAGCAACAGGTGGCAGCATCACAAGCAGTACCTGGTATTTTTGGCCACTGTGTGACAGAGTGTTAGACTGGATGGGCCATTGGCCTGATCCAACATTGGCTTCTCTTATGTTCTTATCTTCTTAGTACAAGGTGGGAGACAAAATATTGAGCTAAAATGGCACATAAAACTGGAATCAGCTTTTCAGTGAAGCAAAGTGAAATATCTTTTTTAGGCAGTGGATTTGCAGCAACCTGCTGAGTGGCCAGGTAGAACACAGACATACTGGACCATAGATCCCAGTTCTTGGGAAGTTCTCCTGCTCAAGCTTTACTGAAACAAATCGGAGCCACACAAGCTACCATGCTATGGTACAGCTTCCTGTTCATATCCACAGAGGTTGTGCAGGAGAATCGCTTGTGCCCTCTGTTAATTAACTAGTGTGGGTAGAGGGCAGGAAGGAGATACCATTTCCTTTTTCTTCCTCAGGCACACCAAAATGTTCCAGTCTTAATTAGGGCTGCCAGCCTCCAGGTGGGGCCTGGAGATCTCCTGCTTTTACAACTGATCTCCAGCTGACAGAGATCAGCTCCCCTGGAGAAAATGGCTGCTTTGAAGGGTGGACTGTATGGCATTGTACCATGCTGAGGCCCCTCCCCTCCCCAAACCCCACCCTCTCCGGGATCCACCTCCAAAGTCTCCAGGTATTTTCCAGCTCAGACCTGTCAACCCTAGGAGAATGTTAGAAATGACTTAATTTATGTGTCATCACTAGGCCATCCCCCCAAAACTATTCATATTCGTTCTGTTTGTTACTGTGCGTTTGAACAAGCAAGTATTTAACATTTTCCCCAACCAATTTTTCTATTAAGATATTTTATGCTACCTGTTAATCCACAGAGGAATGTGGTTTGTATTCAGCATTTTCACCTCTGGCTGAAAAACAGTAAGCTTTTTAAATAGTGCTTTAGAGTATTCAAATGGCATTGTTCACAAATAACAACAAGCCATGTTTGTCATCACAGGAATGAATCTACAGATTCTTGGACTTACACAATTCCTCCATCCTCCATTTGATAATGGAAGGCTTGTACTTTCATGAGAAGCCCAAATTTGTGATTACATTTGCATCAGAAGATACTGTTTATTCTTTTAACTACAAACTAGAATTTAAACCAGGATTAAACCGAAGTTTGTAAAGTTTTAAAATAAGGAACCATATGCAAAGGATGAAGGTAGGGTTGCCAAGTCTATCTTCCGCCCCCAGCGGGGGACTTTGGGGGCGTTCCTGGAGGGGGGCGGGGCATCACTGACGTGATGACATCCCATTGGGGATGTCCGCCACCCCCCGCCCGCGTGCCCGATCTCCAGAAACGCCAGTTTTCTGCTCTTAAAAGAGCCGGCGTTTCTCTTTTAAGTACACGGAGCCAGCGTTTCCCCTTTAAGAGCACGGAACTGGCATTTCCCTGCAAGCCTGATCTCAAGTGGAGATCGGGCTTGGGAGGAAATGCGGATTCCATGAACTATCCCGCAGAGTTGTTCTGCCACTAACTCAGTAATCGTTATGGATGTTGTAAGGTCCTGTATTCCAGAAGTCAATTGAGGCTGACATACTAGTGTTTTCTGTGACTACCAGAAAGAGGCTGTGAGGAGATACGGATGAGGGATTTACCAATGCACAGCTTAAAACATGGTATAGGTAGACACAATAAGAAGTGTTTTTGATACAGATTTGCTGCATTCTGAGACATTTGTTTTTAGGTCAGAAAATACTGAAATTAAATATTCAAGGCTCATAAGAGCGCAGTAATAATGTTCCTCTGACAGTGCCTAACCTTTCACTAGGCTCCTAGATCTTTCCGAGGTGTTTCTGCTCAATAAACTAATCTTTACTATCTTTTCCTTCCCTTTCTGTAGGCATCTTGTTCACATTGGTGGTAGTGATGTATGTCATCTGGCTCCAGGCAATGGCTGATCTCGACAACTATGTGACCATAAAGAAAACAGACTGTCCAGACTTTACTATCTATGTACGCTTTGGGTGGTCTTTTATTTTGGCTCCAGTGGGCATATTTTTTGCTATGTTTTCAGGAATGTTGTTCCTATTGGTAGGGCGTACAATTCATCTGCACTCTAATTAATCCATCGCCAAGTATTTGAATGATTGGAATCACGGTGAAGCTTCACAGAAAAACCATTTTCCCTGTATCACTCTCCCTTCTGTAGTGGAGTGTCAGCTGGTGCAGTTCTGGATCTGCTTAGGTGACCCTTTATGGTTTTTCTTAAAGGACACAAAACTCCCTCTGAAATACTGTACTTCTGTCTTTTCAAACGTCTTCAGATCTTTATGAATTACATGCTACACTTTCCCTTCGCACCACACACTTTGCAATTTTTACATTTCCTTGTTGAAAATGGGGGGGGGGGAACCAACATGAAATGGTTCAGACAAGAATTAGATTTTGAATAAGGGACAATTCAACAGTTACCATCTTAAAGAAAAGTACACATGTAATGAAGTCCCACCTTTGTCCCACTGGCATTCATTTCTAGAAGAAAAGAGCAAGTACCCCAGAATGTAGCGGTGTAATGTCAACACGCACATAAGATCTGAGAAGTGCTGAAGGCTCTTTGAGACTAAACCTTTGTACCAATCCTGGTGGGTCCCAACAGCCACACCGACATGTAGTTAACAGCAACAAAAACTTTAATGAGGTAGGTAGCCTGGAAAGCTCAGTCTCAGAAGGGATGGAAGATAATAACTGGGTGACCGCTTAACTAGGCATTTTGACACTTGAGTACGAATGTAGTGGTTCCAGGCTCTTCTTCCCAGAACTCCGTATCACAATCAATATTAATAATCACAGGCAATATTAAAGTCTCTACCTTTCCTTCCCTTGTTCCAACTTCTACAATCCCTAGTGGAGTATTATACTCTGATAGAACATGCAGATGCTCATATGATACAATCGAAACCATTGAGCATATGGTTATGGAGTGCCCTATATTCAACAAGTTGAGGGCGTTTACTTAAAGATACAGAATTGCTAAATGTGTGAGCCCAGGTGTCATGGCTATTATCGGATACAAATGATTGTGTCACCCTCTTAGTGGCAAAATTCATAGGCACAATAATCAAATATAAGACAAATAATACTGAGTAAGGTTTTTTACTTGGTTCTGATTTCTGCTCAAGGTGATAGCCATATGAGTAGTACTAGATAGATAGATACAATCCCTAGTGGTGCCCTTTCAACTCTCATGGGCCTGTTCATGGCTGCAGACTTCAGACCTCTTCTTTCCCTGTTTCCTCTCAGGAGAAAGGCCACTGTTTCTTAGGTAGAGGTGGGGACTGTTAGAAGATGTAGTCCTTAGTCTGAAGATTACCAGTACAAATAGAGGTTTCCTTTCCAGAATTTTCTTACCCCTCATTTTGTTCCAAGCTTCCAGGTAGTCAAGTGGTACTGGCACCACACATCCATCAAATAACTTGCCTTCTTTAAGGAACAGCTCTTGCCTCATGTTTTCAGTGGGTACTCTACTTTGACTTGATAAATTGATTGCTTTCTCTTTCCATTCTCTCACATCTTGTTCACACTGGGATTCTTCTTTCACAAGGGAAGAAGATTTTTGTGCTCAGATTAGAACATCCACTGCCAGAGATAAATGACAGAGACAAACACAGCTTTTCTTTTACAGAAAATGGTCAAGTTTGTGGTATGTCTGTGTACGTGTGCCACCTTGGATATCTTGTGTCAGTGGGAAGCTAAGGAATGGAGATGAGTGTAAAGAGATCTTCACCCACAACCACCTGTACTTACCCTTGGAGGGTCACCTGCACACCTTTTGGGGAAATTAATGTGGGCATTAGTGTTTTTTTTCTCTATGAGAGTAATGTGTGAATTGGTCCTTATAACAAAGAGTGGGGTGATTGTTTTTTTAAAAAGTTCCATAAAGGATACCCTCTTCTCTCTCTGTGTTTTAGAACTTGGCATTACTTTTAATATGAACAAATATTTCTGCTTGTTAAAACAGTCTACAGTTGTCCAGGTAGTGCTGTAGTGAATGTGACAGAAGATGATTTCAGTGGAAGTACTTCGATGCTGCTAAATATATGTAACAGTGCTGTGTGGTCCAAATAATAGACAGTCGTAGCGGGTTCATACATACATGCATGTCAGTTTATTGCTGTATACCTAGTAGTAACTGAAGTGTGAATGGACTCCATAAAAAGTACTGGAGTTGATAAAAAAAAAAAAAGCATTCAGCAGTGTTAAATCTGTAATGGCCTATTTGCACATGGAAATCATTACTGCAGGCTGCAGCGAACATGCATGTGTGAACAAGTGATGAACACATATGTGTGCACCAACCTTTATTTACAATTAAATGCAGCAAAACCAAAAATGCTATGGGTCATCTAATCCAGTCCTCTGCAAAAACAGGATTTAAAAAGATACACTTTTTTTTGTATTGACTTCTGATTTTTTTCTTCTTCTGTTCTTCCTTTCTTTTCCCAGCTGTAGGTATATCTTGGCTCATTTTGTCATGTTACCTAGAGTTGTTGTTCAGCTGTCCTCCTTTTTGTGGTCATCCTCAGGGTGGAAGAAAAAAACCCAGGTGGAAAAAGAAAATCAAAACCATGAGGTAAATGCTCTGAAGCTTACCACATGGCAGTTCTCTGAAACTTCTGGCATCGTGGGAGGTTTCAAATTATTTGTACTTCCAGTGCCCCACACATAGTTGCTTGGAAATATGAGGAAGCAGCCAAGTGTGGTAATTCTTGGATTGCCATATTAGCTGGAGGCTGGTTGCCTCCAGCTGCCGCATGGTTTCCAGTCATTCGTTTCCTTCCTCAGACATGGACAGCCTAGGTAGAATTATAACAAATCGATGGGTAAAGTGCCCTTTCTTGCAACATTGGGTTCGACTGCATAGGTCATTGCTCCTTTCCCAGTGTTTATGGTTCTGCAAGCATTCTGTCTTTAAAAATCGAAATCATCCAAGGAGGGATTTCCCATAGTTTGACTGGGAAACATGATCCATTGTCTACTTTGTACATGTCTAATGGCTACCCTTTGTCTGCTTACGTGTCCTTCTCCTTGCAGCAATCCCTGGGAATGAGTTGGAGCCTATGCAACTGTGCTCATGGAATAAAACTTGCCCCCCTTCCTGATGTAGCCTACTGAGTTGCTTAATGCCTGGGGTTTGATGGGTCCTTGGAAATAATGTGGGGGTTGGCTGCGGGAAGGGAAAATCAGTGGATATCTCACCATGGCAAAGCACAGAATTTAACCCTATAGGATTTCTTTTTGTGCCCATTTCTAAAAGCCATAAACCCCAATCCAGCAATTTTTTGCACACTGCCTCCTCCAGCTGTGTTACAGTACCGAGCTCCAGATCAGGGACAGCTATCGTATTTACTGCATGATCTATCAGCCAGGATCAAGTGATAAACAACCAGAAGTATGCCAAATCTATATTATGAAATTATGGGCAGGTTTCAAACATAAAATTCTTATCACAACATTTGCCAGATGGATAATTGGTTTTTAAAAAAATAAAATTATATGAATTATATATTTTGTAGAGAAAATGGGTAAGTTCTTTTTACAAGAAAATAAAATCTTTATTATTAACAATATTTGTGTTAAGTTTTCCCCCCTGCCCAAACGGTGAAGCTCAATATCATTTTAATGCAACCATAGTGTTTTCTTCTTGCATGCGCAAGTGGTACCAGGCAAGTGGTAAATTGCAATTGCTCTTTCCTCTTTCTGGATACACATTGTCATGCGGACCCAGGAGCAAGGAAGGGAGCAAGGGTGAGGGAGGAAGAACAGTAACTACAAACCAATTTGGAAAAGACCAGCGCCAGCCCATGGAGCAGTCACCGGTGCTTACCCACCCACCCACCTCCTCGGAGTGAAGCACGGGGTGGGAGAGCCTATCAGTGCTTAGCATGGGAGCACTTGGCCAATCAGGGGCTGGCTCACTGGCCAGGTCTTACGGCAGCCACCCTTCATTGGCAGTTCATCCCAGTGCAAGCTCTGCATGGTCTGAGGGAGTAAGGTATAAATAGGCCTGGCAAAAGCTGGTTAGGCCTCAACTGGGAAGGTGGGAAAAGCATGAGCTGAGGGGATTTTGAGTTGGCAAGCCCCCCGAGATATCAGCAATAGGGGGTTCCTCAAGCTGGGTATCTATAGGCTTGGCAGTCAGGGTGGCTGAGTTGGGGGCCCCTTCAGGGTTGAGGAAGCCTATGACAAGCCTTAAGGCTTAGCAGTCAGGGGCGGGAGTGTGCCCGTCCATCCCTCTATGCACTGGCATGCAGGCCGTGATGAGTAAGGTCTGGAAGGATGCTGAACTTGGCTCCGAGCCAAGGTGGTTTAGCCCTGTTAGGAAGCTTGCTTGCAAGCACAATACAGCTTGTGCTTTAATGTGTTGATGAAATGGTGCAGATCAGCTTATGTATAAATAAAGTTCCCAGTTTAACCCATAACTTGTGCTGTGTTTCATTTGAGGGGTGGGCGGGCGGGCAAAACGTGGCCACAGTTTTTATTGAATACAACTGCAGAAGCACTGGCACAGCATGGGGTTGGTTCCTGTATCAAGGGACCTGCCTACCTCCTGATATAACTCTGTCCCCCCAGCCAGTCTGCTGGGGGGGGGGGCTGTGTAGTGGGAGCCCCTGGGTTCCACCTGGGCATTAACTTCTGCATGGTCCCCTTGCCACCTGGTGCTGAGAACCAGTTTACAGCCCCTAAGCAGGGCATGCCGGTGACTGGCTCCACCTCCAAGACCCTTAAGAGAGTCCCCAAAGTGGGGTAGGTAGGCAAACAGGCACAGCCTCCACCCCAAAAGGATCTAGCCCAGTGCCCAAACCACCCAACCAAACTGTGATGAAAGTGCAGTGACATCAAGAAACGAGTAAACTGAATACAACTTGTGACAACTGAAGACAAGGGAGGGCAGGAGGGAGAGCCTGAAAGAACTGTGGGCGAGGCCCACGTGGTAGCCTGATTAAGTAAGGAAGGGGCAGACCAGAGTGAGTACTTTAGGCTCCAGGTCCACCTGGAGCTCTGCCCCTCCCCCATGATTGGCCCTGTGCTGCTGCAGGGGCCCTAACTCCCAGGGACCTGAGCTCCATGTGGCCAACTTGGAACTGGAAAGATTAACTCTCTTGGGTTTCTCCTGGCCCCAGGCCGCAAACGTGGATCCCAGGTAAGTCAAGTGCATTGCATTTTATGGCTATCCCAGTGCCAGGTCTGATTGAGAAAGGGGCTGTTACTTTTGCGTTACTGTTTCTAGAAGGAGAAATTCATGCAGAATGTGGGCTTTTCCTCTTGCTCCTAGTTTAAAGGACCAAAGTAAGGGCCAAACTACATGTTACTTTTTCTAATGAGTTGGGTCTGGGTTCCCCAGCTGTAAAGACCCAGTTTGCTTTCCCTGCAGTCATACAGCAGCTGCAGGGAAAGGCATTTTTGAAATCCTGTGGAGGCTGATTGAGCTTGGGTCAATGGCCTGAAGGGAGGATGCTGAAATGTCTCGGGTGGGATGGTAATTTGCCTTTTTTTGGAGCTGTACATGGAGTACTTTGTGCATGTGCAACTCCACATATGCAACTCTCCCCAGCTGTTTCATCTCAGGAAGGGGGAGGCAGGAGACCCTGTTCCATTCTACAAAGCCAATTTGAGCTTGGGGGCTTTATAAACATCTTTCCCCTCAGCTGTTGTATGACTGCAGGAAAAGGAGAAGAAGAAGGAGAAGAAGAGGAGGAGCAGATTGGATTTATACCTCCCCCCGCCCTTCACTACCCAAAGGAGTCTCAGAGCGGCTTACAAACTCCTTTCCCTTCCCCTCCCCACAGCAGACACCTTGTGAGGTAGGTGGGGCTGAGAGAGCTCTTGTGAGAACTGCTCTTTTGAGAGCAGCTCTGAGAGAACTTGTGACTGACC